CATTTTAAGTATGCATACTTTTACCGGAAATTTTACTTTTAGAAATCTATCCTACAGAAATATTAGCATAAGTACATATAGATATATATGTACAAATATGTTCATTGGCAGCACTATTTATAATAATAAAAAACTGGAAATAAGCTGGAAGTCCATCAATAAGGGAATGGTTATATTACAAGTGATACATTTATATCATAAAATATTATTTAATGTATTAAATAAAACCAAATCCTTTGCTGTTGAGTTGATTCTGACTCATAGCAACCCTATAGAACAAAGTAGAACTGCCCCCATAGACTTTCCAAGGAGCGCCTGGTGGATTCGAACTGTCGACCTTTTCATTAGCAGCTGTAGCTCTTAACCACTATGCCACCAGGGTTTCCAGATATAATATTAAGTAATAAAAATTAATTAGAGAACAATGTGTATAAACCAGATGTTCTCAAACTTTCTTGATTCATGATACCCTTAGTGTCTTAGTAACTTTCTGCAGTGCCCATAAGCCAAAAAACAAACAAAAAACCTAATGGTTTCATTTATTAAGTAGTTAGACACAAACAGGAGCCCTGGTGGCGCAGTGGTTAAGTGTGGCGTGGTCTGGCTTTGAGTTAAATCCAAACAACTTAGTAAGTACTTATTTCTTAACAATTTAGTAGCTATCTGAAAAATACACACAAATTGAAAGAAAACTATAATTTTATTCTTAAATAATCCGTTAATGGACATGTGTGCCTACTAAGCACTGCACAACTTCTTAAACCTTGGAATCAGATTAGACACTGCCACCTTCATGTCCACATTGTTTTTCCCACACACATATATATAGTGCGTACATATATCTGCGTAAGTACAGAAAACAATGTTGAGTGGATGAGAGGGATCGAAGTACTTTTACTCTTCACTTTTTAAAGAAGAGTAAGTGGTAGAATTATTGGTACTTTTTACTTTTTGTGCTTTTTAAGTTTTTCCCATATTTTCTGATGACCATGTTAAAAAAAATAAGGAAAAGAAGGTAAACTTCTAAAGAGAAAAAATTATATGCAACTGTAGTAGACACACTTTGGGGTGATTATGTAAATAACCACGTTCACTACCCATCCACCTCCCCGCATCCCAGCTGTGGTTGCTGACTGATCCTAGGCCAAGCTGGAGACAATCAGATTCTCATTCCTAGGAGTTTTGAACTTAAATGGAGACAGGCGGCAAGTGAGGCTGGAGCCAGCCATCATAACAGCAATGCCCGAGTCTTCTCTTACTGCTGAGGTACTCACAACTGCCTGCCTGGTTCCAGTCCTGTCTTGGTGCTGCTATACCAGAAATACCACAAGTGGGTGGCTTTAACAAACAGAAATTTATTTTCTCACAGTTTAGGAGGCTAGAAGTCCAAATTCCAAATAAAAGCTCTAGAGGAAGGCTTTCTCTGTCTGCTGGCTCTGGGGGAAGGCCCTTGTATCTTTTCAGCATCTGTGTCTTGTTTCCTTGGAGATCTCATGTGGGATTGCGTCTATCTTCCCCCATCTGTGCTTGCTTAATCTTCTCTTTTATATCTCAAAAGCCATTGATTTAAGACACACCCTACACTAATACTGCCACATTAACATAACACAGAACCCATTCCCAAATGGGATTATAACCACAGGTATGCAAACCAAAAAAACCAAAACCAAAACTGTTGATGTCGAGTAGATCCCCACTCATACTGATCACAGGTATAGAGGTTAGGATTTAAAACACATATTTGGTGGTGGTGTTGGTGTAGAGGTTAGGATTAAAACACATATTTGGTGTTGGTGTTGGTGTAGAGGTTAGGATTAAAACACATATTTGGTGGTGGTGGTGGTGGTGGCGGTGGTGGTGGTGGTGGTGGTAGGGGTAACAATTCAATCCCTAGGTCTCAAGCCTTGGTTGTTTACTCGTTTCTTGATTTGGGGGAGATACCCTGGTATCCTTCCATTAAATCACCTTTTGAGCTTAAGCTCTCCAAAGTCAATCCTGTTTTGGCAACCACAGGAGCTTTAACTAATAGAGCCAATATGTTATTAGCTCTTACAAATTAAAAAAAAGCCAAAAGTAAGTTACAAAAACCTTATATTCTTGCAAAAACCACCCTTTTCTTTTTTCATGTCTTTCTCCCTGGTATACAAATAATGAAAAAATTGACAAATACCTGTAATAGTTAAAAATACAGGTTTCCCTATCTCCTTCAATTTTTGAAAAGTCAATCTTTTTCTTCAAGATGATAAGATCTTAAAGCAGCTGGAATACAACTATTTCTCATTCACTAGCTGTTCTGTGCATTCCCATAATATAAAGAGTTAGCAAGCAAGTTACCCAACCAAAAAAACCCACTGCCTTCGAGTCAATTCTGACTCATAGTGACCCTACAGGACAAAGTAGAACTGCCTCACAGGGTTTCCAAGGCTGTAAATCTTTACAGAAACAGACTGTTCTCCCACGGAGCAGGTGGTGGACTTGAACCCCCGACCGCTTGGATTACCAGTCTTTTCACTTAGTGAGCAAAAGCCTGAAGCAAACATGTTCCCTTGATGAGTCTCAGATCCTCCGAGCCTGGCATGGTATACACCTCTAATTCACACTGATTCTATTATTTAAAGTATGTTTTCTGTACAACATGGCTTCTGCTGGCAAACCAACCACTTCATCTGGTGCTCAACCAAAGACAGTGATCTGTTCTAACACTGAATAAAAACTGTTTTGAGATTTTTGAGAAATGATGTGTGGTTTTCTTAGAGGACTTTTAAGAGTAATACAGACTATACGTGATTTCTACCTTTTGAGCTTAACCCTTGAATAAGCTGCAATTTACACTGATAAATTTAACATCACAGGGATACTTCCCACCGCCTACATTATAGGATAAAGTCCAAGCTCTAAGGTTCTATATGGCCCTTCAAACCACCTTACCAACATAATTTACCAAAACTTTCTCCTCCTTCCCATTCCTCCTCTACCCCAGTTATCCTATCTTCCAGCTACATCAAAAGTTTAAGTGTGTTCTAAATACATTTTTATAGTGGAAAGAGTCACTTTTTAAGAGTCAGATAAACCTAAATTCAAATCCTAGCTTGCCCATTTCTTGGCTTGTGACCCTGGGCAAATTAGTTAAACCTCTCTGGGCCTTAATTTTCTTGTTTGTAAAATGGGGATAATATCACTTAACCTCTTAGTGTTGTTGTGAGGTTTAAACAATGTATATATAGTGTAATAAATTGCAATTAATAAATATCTATTTCCACCTCTGCTTCATGATTTTTACACACTGTTCCATCTGAAGGGTGTATCTTTTCCCCTCATTTCTACCTGGCACACTCTTCTTCCTCCTTTAAGACCCAGTTTATTGTCACCTGTCACCTCCCCTTTTTATCCAACAATTTCACTTCTAGGTACCTATAGGGTCTCTATGAGTCGGAATCAACTCAATGGCAATTTTTTTTTTAATCCTAGTAAAATACTTGTGCATATGTACACAGCAACATGATAATTATTAAAGAACTGTTTTTAATAGCAAAATCTTGGAAACCAAAATGTCAGTCAATAGGGGACTGGTTAAATACACTGTGGTATATACATACTATGGAATATCTGCAGCAGTTAAAAGAGCTCTATTGCTGCCCTGAAATGCTTCTGAAAACCTAAGTGAGAAAAAAATTACCACAGTAGATCACTACGTATATACACACACCCACACATATACATATATATAGTATTTTTATATATGTGCATTTATTTATGTATATCCATAGAAAAGTGCTTAGAAAGATATGCACCAAACCATATCTGGGGAGAAGTGTTTGACAGGGAGGATGTATACAGTGAGATTTATGTTTTGTTTTATTATTATTTTTTTAATGAGAAAACAAAAACAAAAAAAACGCATCGCTGTCAAGTCGATTCCGAGTCATATCGACCCTGTAGGACAGAGTAGAACTGCCCCATAGGGTTTCCAAGGCTGGTAAATCTTTAGGAAAGCAGACTGCCACATCTCTCTCCCGCGGAGTGGCTGACCTTTCAGTCAGCAGCCCAGCACTTAACTGCGCCACCAGGGTTCCTTATATGATGAGAAGGTAATCATGTATTACTGGTATACTCTTTAAAATTAAAAAAGCCACCTTTCCTTTAACACTTCTCCAACTCGGGTTGAATTCATTGTTCTTTCCATTGCAGTCTTCCCTGACTGGGTTGTGTGGTCATTGTTCACGTAAGTCTGTTTCCCCCAGAAATGGTGAACTCCTGAGCCACAAAAGATGCCCCTAGCAGGAGGCCTGGCAGATAAGATGCTTAATAAATGATTATTGAGTAAGTGTAAAACGAAACAAGAAAGAATGTGCATAGAAGAGCACATCTTAAACTACAGAGAAGGTACCAACAATTAATATGCAACTAGGCAGGGAAGTTGGTTGTTATTCCGGCCCCCTGTAGCTCCACAAATAAAAGGTGATGCTGAAGGAGAGGCAGCGTGTAAAGCAAAGCGACTGGAGGCCGGAAGCTGAGTTTAGACCTAACATCTCCACTAATCACCTTCCCGTATCTGACTTCCGTTTCCTCATCTGTAAAATCAGCGGTGGTATTTTATAGCTCTAACTTGTTATGATTCTAGAAGGCTGTTTAATCCAGCGATGAGCACTGCTCTCTACTGGGAAATTCCCAAGGCTGGGATCGCCACTACGTCTCTCCGAGCAGGGTCTGGCCAGCTTGCTCGCTCCTTTCAACCTAGAGTTTACCTTCATTGCTCAATCAAGCACGAACTCACAGGAGCAATGTTTACTCCTCTCCCTGCGTCCCCCAGAGCAACCCCAGGCCCCAGTAGCCCGGGATCTGAAGGAACAAGAACTCCAAGTGGGTGCTACACCCCCAGGTGTCAATAAGACTGACATTCAACCGGAAATCTAAAGAAGCAAGCACCCCGACCAAAGCCACCCCTTCCCTGGGGCCCGAGGTTAGGCGCTCTCGGTTTTCCCAAGAACCGCCAAGCTCACCCAAGAGCGCAGGCTTGGCGGACCCGAGGACAGCCCTGCGCACACTCCAGAGCAGCAACCCCGGCTGCACCATTTTCGGCTCGCGCCCGCTGCGCACTAAACACTTCCTCTTCCTCCGGACTCCCGGCGCTCCGCATGGAGCTCTCGAGCGCCCTCCAGTTAAGCGCCGGCGAGATCAGGTAGTGCCGTAAAGTGCAATCATGACCGGAATATTCCTTGCTTTAAAACTTAAAATTGTTTGGAAGGAAACCAAGGGTTACGCTTGCCTTTTTTTTTTTAATTCCTTTTTTTTTTTGAGGCAAGTCTAAAAGTGGAAAATAGAAAACATACTAGAGTTAATATTTACCGATTTAAAGTAAGTATTTTTTCCCAAACTACTTACTTTGTAACAAGATTTTCTTAACATTGGATTAGTTTAAAACTAGTTTAAACTGCATAGACTCTTTTCTAGGAATTGTTCTTAACTGCAAGAGCTGATTCAGTTGATGTAAAATAATCTCATCCCCACGACTTGATAATATAGTAAATATGAAGATAGCTTTGTCAGGGTTAGGTCCAACTATTTTATAAAGGGTGTTAGTTTCCGATTGCTACTGTATCAAATTATTGCAAATTTACTGGTTTAAAAAACAAATCTATTATCTACAGTTCTGTAGGTCAGTCTCACTAGACTGAAATCAAGGAGCTAGCAAGGCTATATTCCTCCTGGGAGCTCAAGGGGAGAATCTCTTGCCTTGTCCTGTTTCTTGGCTTGAGATTCTCTTCCAAGGACCCTTGTGATTACACTGGGGCCACCCAGATAATCCAGTATTATCTCCTCATTTTAAAATCCTGAATTTATTCACATCTGCAAAGTCTTTTTGCCATGTGAGGTAACATATTCACAGGTTCTGGAGATTAGGACATGGACATTGTTGAGGGGTCATTGTTCAGCCTACCACCCAAAGTTTCTTTTTAATTTATTCTCAACTTGGTGCCCAAACATAATTAAAGCTATATTTACCTGAGAGTTGATTCAAATATTAATTTTAAATGACATTATTAAAGTATATTTCCAAGGAATAATTTAAGTTTGTACTTTTAAATTACTCAAATTATTCAGTTTTCAATAATTTAATAATTAATAAAACCACTTCAGCTTTCTATACCAGTGAAATCATTTACAATTTTTTTTTCCCAAATGATTTGAAACTTGGCCAAAGTCTCTGTGTGATTTATTCTGTAGATTAATTTGAGCTAAAATGTCAAATGTATGGTGATACATTGTAGATTCGTGTACTCTTCCTGGCATCCTCCAATCTGTCCTGAATATGCATCATAAACCACAAGTAGTATGAACACAAGATATGGAAACAATGTTCTTGGCCTCAATGAATCACATTTAATCTGAGTTATGCTTTTGCGAAGAGCATGTATTCTTTTTTTTTTGCAAAGAGCGTGTATTCTTTTTTCAATGTCCATTATTAATTACTTGAGAAATATTTTTCTATAGGATTTTTTTAAAAAGATGGATATTGTCCTCCAGTATCTAGCACAGTGACAAATTTGGTTTATTTAAGAGTCCTTAGAGCAAAAAAAAACATGTCGTCAAAAGAAAGGCGTGATCCTTGCTCCTAGGGTTCAAGTATCCAAGTTCTTTCTGGGAGAGTCAGCTAGGATTAAAAAGAGATGAATGAGGGAGAAGTAATCTAACTCTGCTGAGAAAGGTCCAGTAGTGCTGAATTGATATAAACCGTTAATTCTCAAACAGCTCATTTTATTTTTTTCTCATAAGTCATATCCAAGTCAAAGCATGCTGGAAGGGAGAGGGTTCTTAAGAGAATTAGGATTTTCCCCCATTTTTTTCTCCTTAAATCCACTTCAAGCCCTCATGTATTAGACAAACAAAATGAAGAATTTGGAAATACATGGCCGTTTATGCAACCCTTTTCTTCAATATCTACCAAGAGTTAAAATATGCATCTGTTGAATCAGAAATTGCACTGCTAATAATTTACTGAAAACATTTGCACAAGTAGGCAAAGATAAATGTCCATTAACAGGGGACTGGTTGAAAAGAAAATATGGAATCCTTAGCAAGTATTCAACAGAATGAGGCTAATATGGAAATATGTCCAAGATATACTGTCAAGTGAAAAATACAAGTTGCAGAAAAAAATGTAGAGTATAACTAATTTGACTGTGTTCTCTTTTAACAAAAAGTAGTCATATAAAAATACAGTACAAACGCAAATTTTATGTACAATCTCTGAAACTATACATAAGAAACAGTGAATGGAGGGGAGGAAATGGGAGTGTGGGAAGGAGGAGAAGTTGAGCAATTTTTTGGTTACACTATTTTAGTTTTATACTAAGGGCATGTGTTAGTTTTAGAATAAAGAATGTATCTTAAAAAAATATGCTTGATCGAAAATTTAAAAGACGTTATCTATAGCCTATAGCTTAGTAAAGTATTCCATACATTTCCAGACAGAAAAATGATGGTAAACAATGTTTAATATTATCTGAAAAATACAGTTAGCTGATCTTAAATAAATTTGTATTTTTATTCCGTGTTTTGTCATAATGTCTTTGTAATAGCACTAAAAATATAGTTACTGGGTACCATTTGAAAGTGATGCCCTTCCCTTAAAGAATCTATCAAATAGTAAATTTTACTTTTAATTAAAGAAAAAGGTAAATAACTTGAAGAACATGCATGAGAAATAAAAAGTTAGTGTTAGACTATTTTCCCTAAGTCATGCCAAGTTTTGAAATGGAAATTGCAATCTCTGGAGATTTTGGTCGTGCTAAGAGTGTATCTGCTGAAAATCAAGATAGCTTTGGAGTTTTGTCATTTCCAAGAAACATTTAACTGTCGTATGGTAGTTTGCAATAATTCCTAAATTTCTTTTTATAAGGAAAAGAAGTTAAATGCCTATGTTCTAACTCAGTCTTTGTTTTTTTACTGTAAACTGAAATCCAGTATATTAAACATTAAAAAATCTCTTTCACTGACATATAATTTAGTATGCAAATTATTTAGATTTGCTCAAATTTGTGTGTCTTTTTTCTCCATATTCTGCTTCAAATCCACTGTTAAAATAAACAGAAACTTTCGATTTATGAAATAGACAATTTTGACTTCAAAATTACACTACAACACTACCTCCTCTCATTTGGGGAATATTCTCCTCCGCCCAGGAGGAAAAAATTCCCTCCCCAACCCAAAAGATGATGATGTACTTTCATACCAGCAGAGAGACTACTAGCATACCTGTATTCAACTGTACTTATTGAGGAAATCCTGGTGGCACAGTGGTTAAGAGTCTGGCTGGTGCCCAGAAGGTCGGCAGTTCGGATCCACCAGGTGCTCCTCGGAAACCCTATGGGGCAGTTTTACTCTGTCCTATAGGATCACTATGAATCTATGAGGTAGGAATCCACTTGCTGGCAATAGGTTTGGTTTTTTGTTTGTTTTTGGTATGTTTGTTGAGGAGCCCTGGTGGTACAATGGTTAAAGGGCTCGCTGTTAACCAAAAGATCTGCAGTTAAAATCCAGCAGCCGCTCCCTGGAAACTCTATGGGGTAGTTCTGCCCTGTACTATAGGGTTGCAAAGAGACGGAATCCGCTGGAGGGCAGTGGGTTTGGTTTTTTGGTTTGTAGTTGTTGGATGAACGGTTTCCACAAATACAATATAACCAAATGGTAACCTCCTTTGCTGGGTTTTCCACATGAAAATGATTTTGGGAGACTATTTCATAAGAAATCAATGACAAGGCCGTCAGAATTTTTGCCTTAATTCTGGTATTGTTTGACTTCTAATCCAGCATCCAAGCCTCTTTTGCTAAAGCTACATCTGTTTCTTAGCTGGAGTCCCTGGGTGGTGCAAATAGTTAGTGCTCTCTTGCTACTGACTGCTGATCAAAAAGTTGGTAGGTTCGAATCCACCCAGAAGTGCCTGGGAAGAAAGGCCTACTTCCGAAAAATCAGCCATTGAAAACCCCATGGAGCAGTTTACTCCTGCACACACGGGGTCACCATGAGTCGGAATTCACTCGACATTAACCGGTTTGTTATGGTTTTTTGGTTCCTTGAGTGGAGATTTGTGGAAAATTGGGATACTTCTAGAACCTATCCATAACCAGTGCGGATGTTTGCGGTATTTATCATTCTCACGAAATATTTTCAAGCCAGCTAATTTTAGTAAACACACGCAATGTGTAAATCATTATTGGATCATCAGAATTTGATGAGTTATAAATCAAGAAATTTATTAAGAAGCGAGAACAATAGGTAAAACAACTACCAAAAAAAAAAAAAAAAGCAAGATTATATATGACGAACGTCAAATGTGACCTTAGAGTTCAGAGGAGTGTGACGGAGGAAAATCGGAGACTTTCCGGACAGGCGTCCAGCAACAAGCGGGACTTGAGCCAGTCTCCAGGAAGACTGGAACTGCGCGCTCCAGTCCTGTATTCCGAACTAATTCGGAGGTAATCGCTACTGTTCTAAGATTGGTCGCGGCCTTGCCAGCTCGGCGGACGTAGAAAACGCGGGCGCGCCAACAGGCTCCGTCCCAACCCCGGGCTCGCTGACAATGGAGGGACGGCCCCGAACCCGTCCCACCATGGGCGCGGGCACGCAAACAAGGTCCCGCCTCTGCGGCCTGCGAACGGCTGCGCAGGCGCACTGTCTTCGGGTTGTAGCTGGAGCGGCGGCCCGGGTCGGGCGGGGTGAGTCAGCTAGGCGGGCTGTGTTCTCCGTGGTTTCTTGGCCTTAGCTTGCGCGACCCCAGCCCTTTCGTGTGGTGTGGGCGGGGCTGGGAGAGAAGCTACACACGTCCCCTCGCCTTCCCGATCCGTGGGGGCGCTAGGCGTCACCGAAGGCCATGTGCGGGCGGCCGGCCGGCTCGGCGTTCTGGCGGCGGCGGGAGGAACCGCCTAGGAGGGGCCCGAGTCTCCGCCTCACGGTGACCTAGGAGCGCGGCAGTCAGACACCCTTCCTCCAGAGCTCTCTCCTGACGCCGGCTTTTCTTTTCTTAAACTTGGGGTGTTTTGCTTAGTGACTAGAGGAAGCATGTCTAACTACGGTTTTCTGCTGGCCTTGTGTAGTGTTAGGAGCACTGGAGTGAGACTTAGTCCGGACCTCTGCGAGTTAAACTTAACCCCTGTGTACCTCAATTTCTTCAACTGTAAAGTGGAATAAATAATAGTAACCTAACTCATTAAGGGAATCCCTGGGTGGTGCAAACTGTTAACACATGCGGCTGCTAACTGGAAGTTTAGAAGTTGAAGTCCGCCCAGAGGCGCCTGGGATAAAGTCCGGTGATCTGCTTTCGAAAAAATCAGCAATTGAAAACCATGTTGAGTACAGTTCTACTCTCAAATACATAGGGTCACTATGAGTTGGAATGGACACTGATAACTGGTATCTCAACGTGGTTGTCAGGATTCAGTGGCTTAATATCTTTGACGTGCTTTAGAAACGTGCGTGATACACAAAACTAAGTTCTGTTAATCTTTTTGAGCCTGGTATCTAAAAGGAGAGGTGATATTCACGTCCTCAACTGTAAGAAACGTCTAATTCCGCCCTTCCATGAAAATTATTGCTGAAGAGTAGGGAAAAAAAGTGTTTTTTGAGAATATTGGCTTTCATTTACATAGCCTGTTTAAAAAAAAAAAGTCAAAACTTTGTAAGTAACTTGGTTTACATCCTACATTAGCCAAAAGATAGAAATTAGGTAATGCTGAAGCTGAAAACTGTAAAATTTGGTGTTTCGAAAACCACGTGAAAAAAATGGCAGAACATACTTGTGCAGAAAAGAGTTTACATAGCAGGCCTGAGATTGCAATCCTTAGAAGGCCTGCTTGCAGGGTTGGGTCCTGTTTCGAACCTGAAATTTTGATTTTGAGAATTTTTCCACCATGGGAACAATGTGGTTTATGTTAAAACCTGCTTTCCTTCTGAAGTCTGGCATTTTGGTATGTGCTAGGTAATGTGCCTAAATCATCAGTTTTACCCCTCCCTCCTTCCCTCCCCAAATGGTAGATGAGTGTTTGATGGGCTTCCCTGGGCAGAAATATCACACATATGTTGCATTTTTCTTGCTGGGGGAAGTGTGTGCTCTGTCTGACTTCTGGTGGAACAGAACATAAGGAGGCCTGCAACTGAATTCCTCCAGTTTCAGCCTGTGTCTTTTTTGCTTATGATTAGGCTGTATATCTTAATAACCATTTGCACCTGTCAAGTTGATTCATTTGTGCTCTATACAGTGGCTGATATTTTGTAAGCAGATCATCAGGCCTGTCTTTTGAGGCGCCTGTGGGTGGACCTCCAACTTTTTGATTAGCAGCCAGCAGGCAAGCTCCTTAACAGTTTGTACCACCCAGGGGCTCCATTTCCTTACTACAGTGCTGTAATGAATGTTAGCTGTGAGCACAATTATATGGTGAGTCCCATGAGTCCTTCTAGCAAACCTCCAAATGTGGGGGTGCTGTTGGGGGTCCCCTGACACAATATTGATGATAGGAAGTATTTGAAGCTCTAATAATTGGACTTTAGTTTTGTCCCTTTTTGCCTTAAAGGGAAATTGGAAAAGAAAACTATACAGGATATATGCTTGCTAAATAGATGGGTTACTAGCCCGAATGATTCTATATGTTTAGGCATATTGCATATATCAGAAAAATCATCAGAAATTGATTCTGTATTGCCAAGTTAAGATTGAATCAATGTTTTTGAAAAAAGGTACAGGTCTTTTACAAATTCTAGGTCAAGTGTCTGGTTCTGTTTATTATTTTGCCAGCATTCTCTGCCTGCTAATGCTCATCTTTGTCTGGAGTTTATCTGTGTCATGGGGGAAAATTTGACCAGTCTCTCATGGGCCGTTTTTCCTCGCTTTTATTAGTTATGCCTATTGTTCTTTAGGACACTAAATTAAAATAGATGGAGATAAGTTTGTTAAGTTTGGAGGTGGAAAGATTAGTAAAGTAGAAGGCTAGATCTCTTTTTTGGGGAGGAGGGAAGTGAGTGTGAAGGTGAAGGAGTTGAAGGTTTAAGAAGAGTGACAAAGGTTTGAAATAGTTGTTGTGGAGAGTAGGTAAGGTAGTTGACCAGAGAGGTAGAGTAGATAATGGGATATCTTGATCCATTTAGGGTTGTGATTATTAATTTAGTGGACCTAATCTGCTTTCTTTTAAAATGGATTGGATACAGTCATGGATAAAGTGGTTAATCAGGTTCATGTAGGATTGGTGTTCTGCCAGGTAGGTGATGTGGTAGTCATTAAGGCCATGCACAGATATTCTGGTTCACCTCTTTCTGGGTACATGGTAAGGTTGGACTCATTCCCACCCCACATCTACTTGAAGTTAGATGTGGCCATGTGACTTGCTTTGGTCAGTAGGCTGTGAGCAGTAATGACGTATGTGGCTTCAAGGTGAAGCTTTAAGAGCCAGTGCTCCATTTGCCACTTTCCCTTCTCCCTGCCGTGATGCAGTGATCATGGAAGTACTTATTGAGACGCATTCTCTTGTCAGCCTAGACACTAGAAGAAAATAGAAGTGGCTGATCAAGCAAACTAGCAGAACTGAAGTCGTGGTCAGAGAACTGAATGCTTGAATTTGTGATTTTTCAAGGTTATACTGTAGGGGTAAGTGTAAGTTTGGAGAGAGAAGGTAGTTGGAGATGAGGAGGTCAAGGAAGTCAGGTCTTGCACACCTCTGTAACCGTGAAGGCATTAATTAGTTTATGGCAACTCAGTTCAACAGTGATGACCATGGACTTAAAGAAATGACACTTAAAATGGTAAATTTGAAGGCTCCCTTCTGTGGAATATGGAACAACTAAATCAAGATTCAGAATTCAGTATTAAAAGATTCTTCCACTTGGATCATTAAAAAACAAACAACCATGAAAATTGCTATATAGCTTTGCTACAGAGAAGAAAAGTATTAGAATTCAGGCTTAGCGAATCTAACAGAGACTTCAAAATACAGTGGCTTAAAAACTACTTAAATTCTATCCAAAATCTTTAGAATTAACTTTGAGTTTTTAAGAATATAAGGAATAGAGTTAACACCATGAAGAAATAGAAAATCCATTGTGGGACATTATACAACTTTACTATTCAGAGTATGGTCTGTGGACCCCCAGCAAGGGCGTTACAGTAGGAGCTTGTTGGATTGGCAGAATCTCAGGTCCTATGTCAGACTTGCTAAATCAGAATACACTTTTTAGTAAGATCCCCAGGTGACTCATATGCACTGACCTGGTCTCTTAAAGCCTATGTCATAGGAAAATAAAAGGTGGGAAGAACTGTTGTAGATTAAAAGATACTAAAGAGATGTAACCAGATGCAAAGTGTGAACCTTGATTGGATCCTGAGTGGGAAAAAAACCAGCTATAGAAGACACTTTTGGGTCAAGGAACTTAGAATTTGATGGAATAAGAGATGATATTGGGGAATTATTGTTAATTTTCTTAGATGTGATAATGATGTTGTGATTATGTAGGAGAATGTTCTTATTCTTAAGAGATGCATGCTGAAGCATTTAGGGGTGAATTGTCATGATCTCTGCAACTTACTTTTCTTTCACATAGTTCAACCAAAAAAAGAAAAAATATATACACATACATGTATATGTACGTATGTTGATAGTTAGATAAAACAAATATGGTAAAATGTTAGTTGTTGTGGGATCTAGATACTATATAGGTATTCATCATACTTATTCTTTTAACTTTTGTCGATGTTTGAAATTTTTTCATAATAAGTTTGGGGGGAAGAACCCAGAAAACAATGCAATACGTTAAACAAGATAGAAGTCTCTTTCTCTCTCAATAGTCCAGACCTAGGTAGTATAGCAAAGGTAGGCTTTACTGTGTTTGGCCCTAGGCTTCCATCCCTGGTCCAGTGTGGCTCTTTCAGGTCCAACTATGTCCTAGCTAGTGGGATGGGACAAAGGGCAAGGGGAGGACATGACCCATAAGCAGCACTTGGAACATCTGCTCCCATTCCATTGACCAAATTTTCATTCAACTGAACATCATATATCTAGGGAATAGTTAGTAAAAAGTCAAATGGAATGTACCATTTATATATTGGTTTAATAAAGATTTATTTAGTTTCTTTGTTCTTCACTGATGTTCCCCTCTTCTTCTGTTGATTTACTAGACCAGTTAAAATTGAAGTCATATCACTTGACACTGCTCTACCCATTAAGCAGGGTCTTCACTTACCCATATCAGGGGCCTGAAGACTGGTGGCTCCACTCATCCACCTAGCCACTCACCACAGGGGCCCAAGAATAAGAGGTGCCCCCCAGTCCTTACAGCCAACAGCACTGGGTGCTCATAGTCCAGCTGCAGAACCTACTTCCCTACTCCAGGAACAGGGACATGCTTTCAGACACTCAGGGGTAGCCGTCAGCCCCCTGCCTTGCTCAGCACATGACCCCCTACTGCACCAGATACCTGTGCCTACACCAATCACCCATGCTTGTCTAGGACTGTAGGGGAGAGCCTGCACCACACACTTGGTGACTGACTACCTGGACACCAGAGCTGAATCCATACAAAAAAGTTAACGGAAACCTGGGCTCACATACTTAGTAACAGATTTAACTACCTGGTGACAGGACATTAGAGCTTCAAAGGCACCAATAATCAAAGTAGCTCAGACGAGCAGCCTATTTGGGAGTATCAAAACAAGAAGTTAGGACAAAGTAAGCAA